TGCATGGGATAACCTCTTCCTAACTATTCACCACAATTTGAGCCCGCGGCGCTACTGCAATGGCTGCCTGCAATAGTCTTAGAGAATCCGTGAAACCAAAGAGGCTTTGAGGTGTCCGGTAAATGAGAGACCTCCATACCATTGGTGATACACTTTCCAGCTTTGGATATCGCCACAAGACCCTAAAACCTGTTTGGGGCTTAGGCTACCTTAAACTCTAAACAGCCTTGAATTCCAAGGCACCTGCAGGGGAATCGGAAAGAAACCTGCTGGGCTCTTCCCCCTGACCCAGTACTACTTAAGGATGACAGTTATCATATGAACATAGAAGGCCCTCCCAGTGTTACCCCTAGGATACACATCTACTGGGTTGGGGCAGTACCTAGCGTATAGGTGTGTGGGTTTAGGGAGTATGTTGGCGGGTTATATGGGGAGTAGATTCGGGCTATTTCGGGGGGTGTAGGTGTCATATAGTAGCTGTCCTTGCTATACGGTCTTGTAATTGTTGGCAAGACTACGGCTATGGTGGTGTACGCAGGCGATATTTTGCGCATTTAAGATTCTTTTTGTTACTGGAGTTGTCAGAGTCAAAGCCAAAGCGGCCCCAACGCGGCCACATATCCCGCAGATTTTGTGCGAGAATCACTCAACGGCTTTGCCTTTATCCAAGTGCTGCTACTGCAAAGCCTGTACATGTATGTAACCCTGTTACCCTTCTACAAACTTAGAAGGCCTAAATCTTAGACTCCTTGAACACCCCAACTCCGAAATTCCTATTGCCGAAGCCCCAAACCATCAAGCCTTCACACTGCCGAATCTAAAACCTCAAACGCTAGTCCCCAAATCCTGGAGCCCTTAATGCCTAAAGCCCCTAACGAACCCTCTGAGCCCTGAACATAAGGCCTGCTACGTGGGCATGTGCAGCCACGTGGTCACGCCGCCCTCATGGAAGTACCTAGGCCAGGGAGGAGGTTTAGGGGCGCGGGTGAGATCATTCCTGCTTACAGAAGCAATTGCCACAAGAGATCATATCAGCAGTTAACGCCCATTAAGGATAGTTTTTTTGTGAGGGGACTGACGCAAAAGTTTTTTGGCTAGGGTTGGGCACTAAGGGGTGTATGGCAGTGTATGGGGTTGGGGATGAAGGGGTTTATGATGGTTTATGTATTTAGGGTTCATGGATTTAGAGATTGTAGGGCTTTGGGGTACGGATTCGGAATTTGTTTCAGGGCAAAGTGGTTCACCGAATTGTTTTGCCCGCTATGGCATGTGAGGTTTGGACCACTTAGGATGCAAGGTCGAGGCTTGTGGTTTAAGGTCTATGCCGGTGAACGGTTAACGCTTGAAAAGCGCTCTCTGAGTACGTAGATTCTAGGGTTGTAAAGCCCAAGCAGCAAGCCCTAAACTATGAAGCCCCTGCCCTAATGTTAAAACCCCCTACGCCCCTAACGTTTAATGTTTCCAGTGTGGTAATACATGGTAGCTTCCCTAAACTGGGGGACCTCAATCTAGACCCCAAAGTCCGACAGTCCCTATTATGGGGACCCCTGAAACACTAATTTGGAGAGAACCCCCGTATTGGAAGTATGCTACATCAGAGGGTGGAGAGCGAGTATCACTTCTTCATGGACCCATAATAGCCCCAAACACTAGACCAGAAGAACCCGAAACCTTGATGGGTGGAACCTTTGTAACCGAAGCTCATCTGAGTTTCAATCAACCTGGGGCCATAGGTTTCTATGGCTTAGCGTTTAGGGTTGAGAATGTAGTTAGGGTTGAGGGTGTAGGGTTTAGGGTTTGAGGGTTTGGAGTTAGGGTTGAGGGTCTGGGGTTTGGGGTTGTCGTCGACCCAAAACCCTAAACTCACCCATTTAACCACAAGTAATCCCCATGTAACGCCAGTATAGCGCCAATGTATTCCCTATACGTATAACCAGTAAGATCCATATAGATTGCAACCCTGATATGGCCCCCACATACAAACCCAACTTGGCCCCTAATCCTCGACGAAACCTCTCGTACACAGGCAGAGAGTCATCTTAGGGTGTTTGAGGGTTTTATGGTTTCGGGCTTAGAGGGTCGTCTTGAACAAGCACCGCTTTCTGTTGCTAAGTTCTGGTGCGCCTGTGATGCTTTAAGCCACCTATAGACTGCTGCAAAAGGATTCCCGCAATCCTTTTATGCAGGTGTGGGTCCCCTTGAAGATCCATATGACCCATAATAAGAAGGTTGTAACACATGACTGACTACATTGGGGCCGCCTCTTTGGGAAACTACTGTACGTTCTACTCCCCCTACACTCTTCTTCGAGAAAGTTCGCAAGTTGTAACATTGGCCGCGGACAGTTCCATTCGGCGCAGCTATGCCGCCCTGCATGGTACCGGGCTACAATGGGTGCCTGGACTCAGCTTCTGCGGTGGTCTGTTGTGTTGGGAGGGTGTAGGGTTTAGGGTGTACGTTTTAGGGTTTAGGCTAAGGTTTCAGGTCTAAGGGGATTTCCGAGAGCCATACAACCAAGATTAGGTTGTGAGTAGGGTTGGGGTTGGAGTCTTTGGCCGGGACCTTGGACCTTTACCCCTGAACTCTTCGGGCCTCAGCTTTGTAGAGGTTTGCGGAAATACGAGTCCCTGTTGGATGGCAGGCAACATGTCAAGGACCTATGTTCGAGGGTCTTGGATTTGTGGGTTCAAGGTACTTCCCCTAGCCCGATGAGGTTTAGGGCTCGATGTTCTTGGGCAAGGAAGGTTCTGGGCAGGGCTGGGCCGCAGCTTGGACCGGTTGGGTCGAACATAGGGGTACATTTTTTGGGTTCCTCATAATAAGGACTATAGTTTTGGGGAGTTTATAGTAGTGTCCCCCTATTTGGGGAAACTTTCAGATAGAGAAATTCCTCTCGGGAAGGGTTATGTAGAGTGGAACAGATCTCGTAAAGCCCCGTCTAGTCTGGATCAGTGTTCGGGATTCGTTTATACTTTTGGGGGCATGGGATTCCTTATGTTTATGTAAAAAGGATCCTTTTTCTGCCTACCGTAATGTGGGCTAAGTATGTCCTGATGGCACCTCGGAGAGCTAAATTTAGATCTTAAGGTCCTAGTCCCTGTGCCCTCGACGCTCAGAACCCCAACCCATGACTGTCACATGGGTGGATCCCCAAATTAGGGTCCCATTTTGGTACCCCTAGATAGTCGGTGCCGTAATATAATCTATAACCAACAAATACCCCTAATTTTGGGCAACCCCCGCATTGTTGTTGACTTAACAACAGCGTTGGCGATTTTGCGCTGCAGGCGGCCATGGCCTGTAGCATCCCTTTACAACCCCACTCAAATGCCGCACATCTTACTGGAGGTCAGTCAGGGAAAAAGGGAGTACAATCCCTATATAAGCCCAATGTATTCACTTATTCCCTACCTACCCCCGGTAAGACAAGTGGAAGCCGGAACAATTGCCAACATCCTTTTGAGGGTTTCTCAGGTACCCTACATAACATTCAACTTGTTAGATCCTACCCCGCAAGATCCAATCCCTAAATCCTACACCCTAATCCCTAGATAAATGCTATAAACCTTAGATCCTAAATCCTAACCCCAAGCCATACCTATTCCAGTAAGCCTACTCCCCAAGCCCTACATCAAACCCTAATCCCTACATAAGCCTTATAATAATCCTTAGATCTTAAATCCCCCCAAACCCTACATATCCTGATCCTTGGACCTTAACCCTAGACCCCTTTATAAACCCTAGATCCAAATCCCCCCAACCCTACATATCCTGATCCGCCGCCATAAAGCTCCAAACGCCTTTATAACTTCCAGCGCCTCCTGGAGCCAACCTCAGTGGCAATGTTCTCTCTCTCCGCGACCCTTTCCTGGTTTAGGGTTTTTAGAGTTCAGTGATAGTAGGATGTATCGGGTCCCTAAAGCCGAAACCCTAAACCCTGAACCCTAAACTATGTGGGCTTAGGGCGTCATGAGGATCTTACGCCTTTGGCTGGGGGTTTAGGAAACCCTGGGGAGTCATGCATCCAAAGTACTATGTATTAATATTAGGGCCATTAGGGATTAGGGCTTTGGGTTTTTGGTTTAGTACGCTTGACTTTCAGAATTGGATCTCCACGCAAGTATCATAAGTGTCTAGGGGATGCGGGATTTGGGGTTGGGGTTTAAGTGGGATTGGAAGTACGCATGCCTTGTTTGTTTGGGGTACGGTTTGGACGCTGCTGGTTCGCAGGGGGTAGACTTCAGGGTCTAGGGCCCTAAACCCTAAGCCCTAAACCCTAAGCCCACAAACCCTGGCGTCTTCTAGATTCAGGTCCTTTCTTAGGAAGTGGCCTGCATTAGGATCAACCATGTCATTTCCGGCTGTTCGGACTCCCAGATGCCACCTGAACTCTAAACCCAAAGCCCAAGCCATAAACCCTAAATGTACCCAAAGCCCTTAGCCCCAAAACCCGAGTCCTTAACCCCAAACATCAAGCTCTTAACTCCTAATTCCTAAACCCTCAAAACCCCAAAACTCAAGCCCTCAACACCCAACATCAAGTTCTTAACCCTGAAGCCCTAAACCCAAGCATCACGCTCTTAACCCCTAAGCCCTAAACCCAAGCCCTTAACCCCAAACTAAACCCAAGCCCTTAACACCAAAACTTCAAGCTCTGAACCACCCAAACCCTTAACAGAAGCCCTGAACCCAAAACTTCAAGCTCTTGGCCCCTCAACCTTAAACAGCCCTCAACCCCAAACATCAAATTCTCAACCCCTAAACCCTGAACACAAGCCCTTAACCACAAAACTTCAAGCCCTTAACCCCCAAAGCCCCAAACCCAAGCCCTTAAGCCCTAACATCAAGCTCTTGACCCCTAAGCCCTAAACCCCCAAAGCCCAAAATCCAAGCTCTTAACCCCCAAAGCCCAAACCCCAAGCCCTTACCCCTCAAAACCCCCAAACCCAAGCCCTAAGCCCTCAACCCCATGCAGGCCCTCAAAATCAATCCTCCCTGAGGATGCCAAAGGAGGACCTGATCTGCACAGGATGCGGAGACTTGGCCTGTAAGAGCTGACCGGCGGTTCGTTTAGGGTTTAGGGTTTAGGGTCCATAAAAAACAGCCAGAAGGGCCACTGTTTTACAGATTTTGGGGGTCCAGGTACACCCTAAACCTTAAAAACTTCATGGACCTCAGGGAAGGATCCCTACCACTCTGGTACGGGCTGCCTTTGCCCTCCCGGTGCTGGCAACTGGGTTCCCAAGGAGGCGCGGCACTTCAGTTGTAGGGTTTAGGGATCGTTTGTTTGGGGTTTAGGGTTTTAGGGTTTAGGGTTTTAAGGTTTAGGGTTTTAGGGTGTGGGGTTTGGGGTTTTAGGGGTTGTGGTTTTAGGATTTAGGATTTTAGGGTTTAGGGTTTACGGTTTTGTGGTGTAGAGTTATAGACTGAGCTGGTGTTGGGGGGCTACCTGAACCCGACAAGTTGGAAAGATGATGGAGTCGCTCAGGAATATTTGAGGCTATAAAGCTGAGAAGCATGCGTCCAACCTATATGTCCTTCGTGTTGATTGAGAGCCTTGGGGGTTGTGAAGCTGAGGGCGTTCGTTTTCACCTCCAGAGGGTGCAGGTACCCAATAACTAGCTACTTCGGCTTTGGGTCATAGTAATTGTTATAAGTAGTATTACCCAAACCCAGAAGTACTAAGCTATTATAGCATCTCCATTATGATTATAGTATAGGTTTCAGGTAAGTTTGTCTTGATCGGGTACGTAGTCCTGAACTACACCGTAAAACCTTAAACCTTTTCCCTCAACCCAAGGATTCTGAAGCATTGGGGACTATGCAGAGGCGACTATGGCACTTCTTCCCCACGCGTGAGTTTCCTAAACCTAGATGCCCTAAACCCAAACCCCTAGATGCCCTAAACCCAAACCCCAAGCCCATACACTCTAAACACCATAGACCATGCACCCAAACCCCAAACCCTGAACCCTAAGCCCAAAAACTCTCAACACTTAGGCCACGCACCCTAACCCCCAAACCCCAAACCCTAAACCCTGAGCCCATCAACTCTAAACGCCATAGACCCTGCACCCTAGCCCTTGACCCTCAACTCTAAACCCCAAAACCTTATACCCAGTCAATTTAGCGCTTACACCCTGAAGGCGAGCGCTGAAGAGGCAGCAACGAAATCACCCCCAGCGAGGGGCACCCAGGATGCAACAAAGGGTTGACAGGGTTCACGGTTTAGGATTTCGGGTTTAGGGGTCAGGGTTTGGGATTCAGGGTTTAGGGTTTAGGCTTTAGGGTTAGGTTTTAGGATTGAGGGTTAGGTCCTGGGTTAGGGTTTTATGGGACGTAGGGGTCACAGTGGTTGTGTAGGGGCTACAAAGTGTTCACGGGTCTACAATCAAGGGCTATGAGTGTAGGGAGTTCAATTCATGGTTGGGGCTTTGGCCTGCACATGTTTAGGGTTTAGGGTCCCTGGATTGGAGTTTCGCATTTTGGGCATACGGCCTAGAACCTGTTGTGTTTAGGGTTTCGGGATGTAGATTTAAAAGGTTTGCTGCTTGCCCGGGCCTGGGCTTCAGTTTTAACCTGTCATCCCGATTACCTACAGCTTTGCATTAATACCACCCTCAAATTGACAGGTATAATCCATAAAACTGTACGTAGTGGGGGTTGCAGGTAAGCTTCGGGTCTGGGGTTTCTGGTTTCAGGGTCTAGGATTTACGATTTGCGGTTCATGTCCCTGGAGTGGCAGTTGTTGCAGAACTCCCTAGGGAAGCTGTAGAACTACAAATCCAAACCCTAAACCTTTATAAACCCTAATTTTATTTCCAGAAGCCGAAGCCCCACACCCGAACCCTAAATCCTGAACGGCACCTCCGCCTTTCCTGAGATAGCAGTTGGCGCCGGGCTTGGGGTTTAGGGTTCAGGGCTTAGGATTTAGGGTTTAGGGTTTAGGGCTTAAGGCAGTTGTCAGAGAGGGGCTATGGACTTATGTGGGGGTTATAATCAGAGGGTTTAGGTAAACCCCAATCCCAAAATCAGGACCAGGCGCATGAGTCTCAGATGTCTTTAATTTAAGAAGGCCTTAACATTGTTGGCTTGGGATTACCAAAGTCCTCTGCTATCAGCCCTTCTATGATTGATTGCAACTACCACTTCGTTCTCCATGTTCTTCTCCATGTGTTCTTGCCCTTTGGGCCAAATCCTCTTATGACAATCCCTACAAGGCCTTGAAGTAACCACTGCATAATGATTTTAAGAAGTTGCCAAAATCAACCTTTTGTCGCTGGGCCCTAAACCCGAAAGCCTAAACCCTAAACGGGGGACATTCAACCCCATGCAAGGAAGCGCTGCCGAAGACGGCGAGGCCTACTTTGTTGTATCGGAGTTCAGGTCTACACGAGTATCGTACTTCAAGGGGATTTAAGTGTTAAGCTGCTTGGGGTGTTGTACAGTTCGGGGAGTTGGGGCTTGTGGTTTTGAAGTGTAGGAAACTCCCACATAAAAGGACCTGACAGAATCTGGAGTATCAGGCTTATGAGGCTGACATAAGGCGTTTCGACTGTAGCTTTCTTCCCTGACTTGATTCGGGGTTTAGGCGCCCAAGCCCTTGCTGTTTTAAGGGGGGTTGACTAGGGGGAGTAGGAACCCCCTGAACGGGTTCAGGGTTTAAGGTTCCCCTTGAACAACCCCCTTAATAAGGGATCGGGTAACGCGTTTTCGCTCACGGAATGCAGCAATATTCCTTATCATGTATGTAGATATGTAGGTACATGTGTTTATATATACACATACACATACGCATTTAGATGCAATAGCAATATCTCTACCTGTATATTGTGAAAATCAGAATTAAGCTGGTTGGCAGTCTCAGCAAGACTCACGTGCGGGATGGCCGAGGGTACTTGGCAACAACCCTCGTGGTATGTCTTTCCCGCATTCATTGATAAGCTCTCCTCTCACAGAATGTATGTAGGTATGTAGTCTACTTTTCTCAGTGCCAAAGGCGCTCCCATACGTTTATTTCGGGGCCCACTTGGAGTACATACTGTGCCCTCTTCAAAATAGCTTCGTGGACCCCAAGGGATCACGGGGACCTTGTGAGTATACTCATCATACAGGAACCAGGTTATCGCTTTGTTCATCTACTTCCGAAGTCACCCTGACCCCCCTGGGAAGAGGTTATTTGCAGCTGTGGGCAGCCGCGTACTCGGGCGTCCAAAGCCCCGGACAGGGTCCTCCCTTGCAGGCAGGGGAGTTCAGAGGAGTACATCAGGTTACGTATGGTTTAGGGCTTAGGTTTCAGGCCCGAATGGTCCAAGTTCCGAACTCGTAAAAGGCACACAGGCTCCTACATAGGTACCTTACTTTGGGGTTCATTTTTTAGGTAACTGGACCTTGTCGGGATGGGGCTAGTGGACGGTTTAAATGTCAAATCCCAGACATGGAGAATTTAGGTTGCACCCTCAACTTTCGGTACAGCTCCACCCCGGACTTCTGTCAACGCGTTGCAAGCCTGCATGCACAAAAAGCGCATGCTCAACCCGAAACGTGAGAGGTGAGCTTTGCGGCTTGGCATTCAGGAGCGCCCTAACCCTAGGCTATAGGTTTTAGGATTCAGGGTTCAAGTAGAGATGCAAGTACCCAATATTTATAAACCTTTCCAAAATCGATAGCTACAAGTACTATTACACAAGTACTGGAAACCCCGCACCCCAAACTCCAGACTTGGCCCCAAGCCTCAAGGAAGGCCCACCCCAAGACCTTAGCTCCAAACCCTGAACTTAACCAGCTCTAATCGCAGCCCCTCAGGCCTCATAGCCCTCAACCCCCCCGACTCTGGGGCAATTCATAGACTTGAAGCCCTAGGGTATGGGGTCCTTGAGGCATTGCGGCGATGGGGCTCGGGCTGCTTCTGAGCTGATGTCGGGTTAAGTATTGTGAAGTTAAGCAGCTTTCAGAGATGTGGACATGGGGTTTAAGTAGCCCCTACAAAGGTCCTTCATGGATTGTTTTGAGGGAAATCCCCGAGATCCTTTTTATGATGTCTTTATCCGTGGAATTCCTAGAGGCCAGAATCATGTTGAGAAACTTTCATCTTACACGCGTCCCTCGTGCAGAGCCATGAGGAGAGAAGAGAGTGTTTTAAGTGGTGAGCTGGAGTCCACATCAAAGTGCTAGGGACCACTGGCAGGGTTTGAGGTGTAGGGTTCCCGGGACAGTGCTTCAGATTTTTGCAGAACACAGCCATTGCATCCTTGAACCGGGACAGCCTAAACCGTAAACCTTAAACCCTCAACCCTAAATCTTAAACCCTAAACCCGAAACCGTGGTCTTTGCAACATGGGCGACCCTTTGACCTATTGGCATGTCCAAGTCAAGTCTCTCAGCTTGCAAGGCATACAGAACCCAGACCTCTCAGAAGATCTAACAGTTAGATCCCCTATTTACAGCGCCATAATAACCCCTATATAGAATCCCTATATAACTCCCCATAGTCTTCTAGGGGATCTAATTTTTAGATGCCTTTTTTCGGGTCTGGGAAGGGCCTGTTTGATCATGCACGAAGCCCCCACATCTTTCTGAAGTAAGATTCTTGCTGATTGCAGGCGTCTGAGAGCCCGCCACATTGATTTTGGTAAAGCTTGCTCAGAGTAAGCTCTAAACCCTCAATGGTAGCTTCCATGTTCTTTTCCATTATCCCCATACATCCCTACAATGCCCCCATATCTGTGCCAAAAGCGTTTCAAAAGGATTGGAAGGTTGTAGAAAGTCAGAGTGCGGCTTTGCCAAGGTAAGAATGGGGGCAGAGACAGTATATAGGTGGTTGTCAAAATTATGGTCCCTTTCTGGGTACCCTAAATTATAGGTGCCGTATCATAATAGGGATCCCAAAAGAGCCCATAATTTTGACCACCACCCATATAGTAAACTGCAAGCGCCCAACAGGGGAAGGTTTGAAAATACCTTGAGCTGTAATTACCCTTAATCCCCCTATAATCCCTACACAGCCATAAGCATCTAATTTTATTGGGCCCTCCAACCACCCTAGCATAGATGAAGGGGCGTCAACTGACAGCTATGCAGTTAAGTGGATCCCCTTAAGTAGATAGAATAGGGGATATATGGGGATTTTATCATAAATTACCCAGTGCCATATCCTATCTACGTAAGGGGCCCGAAAAGTGGATCCTAGCGGCTTTGCAGTGGTTGCAGCAATGCCGAAGCGTTTTCAAGATGGGCATTGGCGATGCTTGAGAAGTGTGGAACCAACTCGGCTAGCCCAGGGGTTTAGGGTTTAGGGTTTCCCTAAACCCTATATAACCCTAAAACCTCAATACCCCCAACAACCTAAACCCCAGCCCCTATATAATCCCAAAACCCGAACGCCTAACCCTATATGACCCAACAAACCTAAACCCTAATCCGTTTCCTTTTTTCATTATGGCAGGACATGAAGGATGGACTTCGGAGGATTTTGCGGGATGTCCTGTGGTGGTTTAGAGTTTAGGGTTTAAGGTTTAGGGTTAAGGTTTTAGGGTCTAGGGATGAGGGTTTAGGGTTAAGGGTTTAGGGTTGAGGGCTTAGGGTTTAAAGGGTTTAGGGGTTAGGGCTGCGGGATTAGAGAGTTAGGGTTTAGGGTTTCGGGATTAGGGTTTAGGGACCATGCAAAGCTGCACCATTGGACAAGAATTGTTTGTCCTGTGGTTTTATCGTCTAGTTGCTGAGTGCTCAGCTCATAGCAAAACCAAGCCTAAGCTTGCTTAGGCTTTTGTTTTGTCAGGCTCTGTTCTATATGGGAGAGCATTAGAGGGGCTATGAAGGGGGATACTGGGTGTTTAGACTAGATCTCATCACATCCCGGCGCACTCCTGGTATAACTACGTATACATTTGGTATTGGCCCCACTCTGTAACAGTTGGAAAACATCTATAATATGCTTGTATATATATATATATAGAGAGAGCCCTGAATATGGCCCTTCATATAGACTGTTACAGAGTGGGGCTAGTACCCAACTTTTATGGCAGAGTTCCCCTGCTTCAACCATGTAGCCCCCAGTTTACACATAGGCGAGGCAGGGAAATACCCAACCTATAGACATGTTTTAACCCGCCGCCGGCGGTATTGTATCCCCCCAAATACTATATACAATCCTTAGTATGGGGAGTTTGAAAAGGGGGATTCTGATTGCAGAGCAAAACGTGTTTCGTACTCTGCCGGCCTGTAGCCCTCATAACCGTCTCACAGAATAGCTGCATACCTGCAGAGTCCCTTGGGCTGTCAAAATTATGGCCCCTATGTTTGGGGCTTAGGGTTTTTTTGTTTAGGGCTTAGGGTTTAGGGTTTCCTATCATAACACGGTCCATCACATTTAGGCGTCCTCAAGAAGCGACCACAATTCTGGCAACTCCCCATCTAGATATATATGCTTAGAGTCCCATACATGTATACCCTCCCGGAAACTAACATGGAAACCCAAAAAGGGCCCGATAAAGACTACAGTCCTTTCAAAGGGGGGCTAAAAGGGTTTCCATGTTAGTTTGGGGAAGTATACATGTTTCAGGGTCACCAAAAAAACAGTTGTAATGCTTGAGAATCCACCCTGAGGACTAAAGGAGTCACTTCCAGGACCCTCATTGTACCCGTAAGTAGTGGTATATTGTCCTTGATAGTGGGTAACCCGGGCTTAGGGTTTAGTAGTGGGTATTTAGGGTATAATAGCGGGTAGAAGGAGGGTCTATAGGTTTTTTCAAGCACGAGGGCACCTACTCAAGCAGTCGCGACGGCGCAAGACGGTTGCTGCCAAAGGCAGCTTTACCTTCACAGCGAGAAGAGTCGCAAGCAAAAAGAGGAGCAATCCCACGCCCAAGCAACGAGGAACACCAAACCATGTTCTGGTAGCGTTTTGGTCATTCAAGGGTTTAGGGTTTAGGGTTTAGGCCTAGCAACATGCAACCGTCCATATAGCATATCATACGTTTGTTCTCTGGCCAAGGTTGAGTAGTGGGAACTGGTCGAGCAGGGGGCTGTTTTGATGAACGTAGGAACCTCCCCATACACCACGTAGAGGCCGTTCCAAACTTCCTATCCTATAGCTTCAAGCTACCCCAACAGCCCCAGCACTCTCTAAACCCTTTATGTCTACTGCTTGTTTCTTTGTTGGTTTCTTACCGAGTGTAGCCTAAACCCTAAACCCTCAAGCCCAAAACCTGAACCCTAAACCCTGAACCCTAAACCCTCAACGAAACCCTAGCTCAAAGCTAGCTCAGGGCATAGGGTTCTCCTAAACCCTAAACCCCGAACCCTAAACCTTAAGCCAGACCCTAGCTCAGGGTATAGGGGCGTTGAGGGTTTAAGGTTTATAGGGTTTATTGGGTTTAGGGCTCAGGGTATAGGGTTAGTCCCGCCAAAATCCCCAAGACCTAGACCCAACTCTGCGCAGCATTTTGTGCTTCCAGCGGCTCCAATGTGCAGACGTCATGACCTCCTAAGCCCTTTGATAGGTGGAATTGAGAGATTCAGAGACAATTAGGGTTTGGGGTTTAGGGCTAACATGTCCGTAGATTGCTGACAGGTTAGGTTACTAGGCATTTGCTACGTGCTCACTCTGCGTGATTCTTTTATGCCGTAGCCCCCTTGCAAAATGCTTAGAGTTCGGAGGCCTTAGGCCCTTGAAGCCTTCAAACCCCTTCCTGATGAAGTGAAAAATACCAAACTGTCGACGCAGGACATCTTGCATACTTGGGAACACTTATTGTTTGCGGGTATCTGTTGTGTAGCAAGATTTCCTCCATCCACGGTAGATCCCACTTTGAAGGATCTTCATGGCTTAGAATGCTGGCCTCAGACCTGTCGGAGATTCGTCGGCGGGTTGCTGAGACGAGGAAGAGGATACAACAGGCCACCGCCCGTCAGGGTCCAACATTTTTGGCTGCTTGCCGTCAGAGCTGAACTGAACCCAAGGAGTCTAGGGTTTTAGCGATTAGGGCAGTTAGGTTTAGGGCAGCTCAGGGTTTTAGGACTCCCTAGGGAATCCCCCACCATTTCTCTATATCACAGATCCATTCTCCCACTCCCTGTAAGCCTAAGTAACAACACGATTTGTTCTCAGCAAATGACGATCTCATCCGATCTTGCCCCGAGTGGTGGCTTGTTAGGAAAAACATCCCACACCGACCTCAGTTTCTGAACTTTAAGACCGAAGCCTTAAGCCCTAAACCTTCAGGCCTGCACCTTGTGAACTCT